TTTCTTACTTACACTAAAAATAATTTTCATGCACATAGTTTAGCCAATATGCAACATGGATAGATGAAACATGGCATTGCTATTAGAAATTACAATTGAGCATGACAAGCTCAAGGTTTGACTAGCATGTAGTATTGCCGGATGGGCATGGTATAGCTATAAAAAGCTCAAACGAATATGACATTACCATTAGAAAGAATAATCGAGTTTGAAAAAGTCTCTATTTGGCTAGCACATAGTTTGGTAGATTGATATGGCATAACTATTAGAAAGAATAATAAATTTTTAGTTAGGCTAACATGCAACTTGACTGGATAGACATTACTTTTCCATCAAAAAGAAAGAATAAGTATGAAAAGCTCATAATCCGACCAGCATGCGGTTTGGTCAAATGGGCATGACTTTGCTATAAAACAATAAGCATGAAAAGCTCACAATCTAGCTAGCATGTAGCTAGGTTACATGGATAAGGCATTGCCATAAAAAAAAAAATAAACATAAACTCAACTTGACTAGATGGATATAATGTTGCTATTAAAAAGAATGAGTATGGAAAGTTTACAACTCGGCTAGTGTGTTGCTTGATTAGATGAACGAGAAGTTGCCATTAAAAAGAAATATTAAACATAAAAGCTCATATCCCGACAATCATACATCTTAACTAGATAGACTTAGTGTCACCATAAAAAGAAAAGAATGAATGAGCATAAAAAAACTCATAGCTCGACCAACACACAACTTGACTAGATGTATAGAGTGTTGCTATCAAAAAGAAAAAATTGAGCTTGAAATCCTCTCATCCTAGCCAACATGCAACTTGACTAGATGGACATGATGTATTAAAAAAAAATGACTACGCATGAAAAGCTCAAAGTTTTGATGCAACTTAACTAGATTGATAAAGCATTGCCATTAGAAAGAAAAAAAACTAATCATCAAAAGTTCACATCTTAGCTAGCATGCAACTTGGTTAGATGCATATATCTTTGCCATTCGAGAGAATTACTGAGCATGAGGAGATTACGGCTTAGACATAATACAAGTCGGCTAGTCAAGTGACTTGATGAGGGGTTTATGGCTTTTCTTTCTTTCATTCATTATATATATTTCTTTTTTTTCTTTTTTTGCAAACGGGTGTCTTTTGAAAAAAATATGAGTATGACACTTGTTTGTCTTTGTCTTTGTATTCTTTCTTTTTCAAGTGCCAAGTGAAGACTTTTTTTTTTTAACCATTAAGATTAGAATAGAACTAGAAATAAATTTTTCTACGGGGTTTTTTCATTTCATTAGTAAGAAATACTCACGAGTCAAAATAGTTGAGAGTAAACTCACTTGATTCATGTGCCTTTCAAAATCTGTTTTTCTTGAAGAGTGATATATGATTTCACTTAAGTTACACTATTGTTATTTTCTCTTATTCTCTAACCAACTTTACTAGTGGTCTTGGTCTTTGTGCTTGTCTTAGTTGCCACCATTTTAGTTGAACTTTCCTTAGGTTTCCTAAACTTGAGCTCCCCATGATTCATATACTCATAAAAAAAAATGTCTCAATAAATATAAGATTTATGGTGCTCAAACGTTGATGTCTTGAATGGAGATGTTCGTTCTTCTCTAATACTTTTTTTTTACACTAGTGCTAGGTGAAGGAGATCAAATCATACTCTTGAATAAAAAAAAAAACCCTCATAATCAATAACCGATAGGACACATATGCATTAATGACATGTATCACATGGTGTTGTTTAGGAAATCATAAAAGATATGTCTAAGAGTACACAATTGTCACTCAATTTTCTTAAAGGTAAAAACTAAATAACAAACTAGTTTTAAGAGTTCTAGGTAAAAGGGTTGGTTATGTAACTAGAAAAGATTACGAGTTATCCTAGTGTGTTATCTTAATGAGATTATGACTAAAGCCTAATCTATAAGAATTTTTGTATGCAAAATTCAATATTTATGTCCACTTTTCTATCCAGATTTGCAAGGTGATTACTTGGTCTTTTTTAATCAGTCATAGATAAAATGATTTAAAGATCGAAAGAAAACTCAAATTTCTCACATAAAAAATGTCATCGATCATTGTAGCCGAATTGAGAAGGAAAAGCCGAGCTTTAAAGCTCATTTGCAAAATAAATACTAATGTCTTAAATAGACAATGTAAAATAAAATTAAAAAAGAAAAGATCTTAGGCTCAAGTTCACCTGCCAAGTCGTAAAAGCAAAATTACAAATATAAGATAGAAAATCTTTATAATATGAATATCGAGTCTTGAGCCCATATCAACGAGCCCTCGCTAATTAAAATAGTGATACTAAACTCAAGGTTCAATATCAAATATAGGGCTATATATATATAATAGTAATGCTAGAAAAAAAAAGTAAAGTAAAACAAGTTAAAAAAATAATAATAATAGAAAAAATAAGAAAAAACACCGTCATAGAAACCAATTTGATCTCAAATTCTAAACCTACTCATGTAGACTAACCTAGTTTAATATCACATCAAATAATTACATCAAGTGCAAAACATAAACAAATCGATATGCAAAGACCAAAGATCTTATATAGACGACCACACATAAATTGAAATACCCAATTAGCCTAAACAAGATCCTTGACTTCATCATCATATATAATAATAATAATAAAAATAAAAAGAGCTAGCCTATTGCTAGCATCATCATTGATCACAAATTCCTATAAAATTTCAAGTAATGTGAATTCAATAAATAATTCAAATTGTATACTAATCATATAAGCAATAGTAACATAACATGAACAATTAAAATCATCTCCACACAATAATCGATCTGGTAAAGAGCATGTCATTTTCATGATTCTTTATCATTTATTTCACTAGATAGTTGGTAGCAAAATATTCCTTAGATATCTAAACAATGATTTTCATAGTTGCTTTTTTAGCTTTTTCGTGAAGCCTAAAATATTAACAAAATTACAAAAATTTAGAGTTTTCAGCAAAGACTAAGCAATTGAGGCATCGATATTTCACAATGATTGTCATATAGGGTGTGGTGTGGCCAAAAGCAACTTGGTAGACTCGTATGCCAAAGTCTTTTTCCCTTATCTCGGCTAGATCATAAGCAATTGCATTCACTAGGTCATGGTAGCGATTATGGCATTGTGTTAAAGGATTTTCTTGAACATCATTCTTATTCTTAAGAACAATCTCTCCTTCATTGAGCTTGCCATGAAAAAAGAACCTTAAGTTGTCGATCACGATGCGAAGACTTGGTTGTACGGTAGCCATGACAAGAACTTGAATAATGGGTCGAGGCAAGTTGCTTCCTAAAAGCACTAAAATTTTGAAAATGCCAATTAAAGGGGTTTGAGCGTTATTATCTTAGTATTAAGAAGGTCGATGACGTTAATTTTGTTATTAGGATCATACAAGTTCTTGATAACATTGTGCACGATTGAGTCTGGTTGTAGAATCAACATTCTCCTTGGAGGACTTAGGATGGACCATTGTTTTTATAATCACTAAGTCCCTAGTGGAGTTGCCAAAATGTGTGAGGAGTTCTTGAAAATTAATCAAACAATTGGTTAGTAAATTGATTGAGATACAAAGAGCTAATGTTGTAATTTTTTTAAAAATCGATCAACCAATCAAGTAGAATTGATACAAGTAGTAAGAGACATGAAAGAAATAACATTTAGTGATAGTAAGGCGCAAGTCGAGTGGCAACATGCGTGTGGTCAACATCCAAATAGTTGAAGCTCTAAGACTTATGTGCTGTGAGTGTGAGAGAGTTTTAAGATAGTGTGAGCAAAAGATCAAAAGTCTACAAAATATATAAAAATTGAAAAATCCCCTTAAAATTGACGTGGGTTAATATTTATAATGAAATAAAAATGATAATTGATTGTTATGATCATGTCACGTCATCTATATTGATAGTTAGATTTGAATTGAACAAAAACTAGGGTTTTTTTAGAGTAAATTGTTTCAATTTGCTAATAAAAATTAAATAGAATAACAATTAAGTTTTTTTTTTTAACGAATTATGTTCCAAACACACTAAATCAATCTTTCTAATACATCTTAATAGCAAAATATGAATATTAATATTAATAGAACTAAATTAATCTTTCTAATACATCCTAATAGCAAGATATGAATACTAATATTGCTAAAATATGTGTACATGTTTATGCGATTTAAAACTTATTTATGTCCATCTATGCACGAATCAAAGCTTTATACTGAATTTGTACCCATATCAAAACTTAAAAATTGAAAGCATATTATAATCAAGAAACATAGATCAGCACATGATAAATTACATGATAAATTTTTTTAAAAAACAAATAGGTACATAAAAAGTGAAACGGAAATGGGTAGATTCGACGTCTTAAAAGTTACAGTATATATTGTAGTCTTATTTTTCAAAGCCAAGCTGGGTCATCGTTCATGATTGTAGCCTTTGCTTTTCTTACCAACCACACCCACATCAAACCCAAACCCCACCAATTGCTGAACATCGAACCAACTCTCTTATGCTCCCAAAATGCCCCCTTCTCCCTTCCCAATAATTTCAACTTCCAAAATAAACACAATCTCTTATCGGTGTTTAAAAATAAAAATAAACATTCCACTTTAGATAAAAATTAAACACATAAATAAAATAATAATAATAATAAAAGCATCGTAATTTCCTCATTCCAGTTTCGTGTACAATCTCGAAGAAGTTAGCATAACATCACAGCATAAAAATTACCACACCGGAGTCATAAAAAAAAAAAAAAAAAAATAAAAAAATCCAAAACAGAAAGAAAACAAAATGGAGTAATCCCACCTCTCACGTACTACGTACCCTATTGTGATAAATTCCTCTCTATAAAAATTAAAATCCTTCTTGTTATTTTCTCATATTTCTCCAATTGACCCCAAAGTTTGGTTTATTTTTCAGTCTTGGAAGCCAGTTTTTTCCCAAATTGCATTTCTGACCCTACTAAGATCCCTTCCTTTCAAAGTCCTCCCTATCCCTTCATGAACCGAGAACGACGCGATCCTTGTCCTAGCCATCTGCCTCGCCAACAACTCGTGAGGGGGACCCTCAATCCACCATCAAGACAATCCTCACCGTTCACATCATCATCATCATCACCAACTCCATCATCAACAACGTCTGATCCCCTACGGTACTCGTCCTTCAATATCTTCGACCAGTCCGGTACATTCACCGGTAACGACGACGGTTTCCCGCCTGCTCTGTCCCCAGGATCTGTTCGCCGGCAGGAGGAAGTTGACTTCTTCGCGAGACGGGAACTCAGGACTGGCTTGCAGAACTCGGGCGAGTTAGAGCGACTTGTTGTGTGGTGGTATATGTCAGACTCGTCGAGTTCGAAGGCTGAGTCGTGAGTGAGTGGCGCGTGGTGGGTCAGGTCGTTTGAAAGGAATCGATAGTTTTGTCTTGCAAAGTAGCCCTTACTGGTGGCCATTTGGAAAGGAAAAGAACTGATGAGTTACTTAGTTGGGTATAAAGGGATTTTATTTTACAAATATGAAGATGAAGAAGATGTTCATCTGCTTTTATAAAGGGTTGGGTTGGGCTGAATAAAGGATAAGGCTCTCTCTCATTTTCTCTGCTTCTCTACTCCTTTTTCGCAGAAATTACCAACACACCCTGCGAGCTTCATACAGATTCCAGCGCCAGGAGAAAAGCCTCGTCAATTTTCTGTTCTTTCTAGATAGATAAGATTTCAAATAAATCATTTAAAACGTACTTTCTATTTAAAGGATACTGTTAAATTCATTAATATAATTATTATTTTTATTTTAAAAAATATATCAATACATCCTCTATCGATATTTATTAATATATAATAATTATTTATAATTACTGAAAGATATATTAATAATTATCTAAAAAATGATGAGAATAATAATTTTATTTATTAATGAATTTAGCACTACCCCTGTTTGAATCCTACATCATTTTTTCTCTCTCTTGATATTTGGCAGCTAGTACCAAAATTTTCAATAATTAATTCAGTTTAAATCAAGCTTTGTTAATTCATATTTTATGCTAATTGATTTTAATTATATGGTTACACAAAATTGGTCTTTTATTATTATTTTTATTATTATTTTTATTATTATTATTATGAGTTTGTTTCGATTTTATTAGAATGTTAATTAAGCCGAGATTCAAATTTAATTCTCACTTCCTTTTGTTCATACAAAGAGTCATCAAGAGTTAGGAGCTCATTCACCTAATACTAGTTTTTTTGACTTTGCTATGCTGCATGTTGTATAAAATATATGAAATTATTTAAAAAAATTATTTTAGTTTGATAGTACGTGTTGTGAAGTGAATCTATAAAAATATATTAAATCAAAATTAAAAAAATTATTTATAATTTTTTAATCAAAATTTTATATTTAATTATTTCTTATTTGTGTTTTTCATAATTTTTACGTTAGAAAAACTGATTTATTCTTGTTAATTCATGGATTATTAACTAAAAAAATAAATAAAAAATTTCAAAAAAGCTTTAGTATTTCATAAAATTGTATCGAAAAACTAAAGTAACAATTAATAAAAACTTACATAGAATTGAATAAATAAATAAATTATTTATTTTTATTTAATGTTGATGACAATATCGATTTTTGAAAGAATATGAATTTAATTTATATATATATTTATAAGATAATGAATAATATTAAAACAAAAACTATATTAATTTGAATCATTAGGTAATTAAGCCAAAACATAATTTTAATTATTTAATTTTAAAATATTCAAAACTAAATAAATAAATAGTAAATGCCTAATATAGTAGTAGTTGCATAGTTAATTTTTAAAAAAACAATGATTCAATATTTTTTTGTACATCATAAAAATATTAAATAGGTTTAGAGTTTTCAGCATAAAATAAAAAACACTATAAAAAAGGTTAACTTGCAATGAATATATTGATTAAATTTAAAGTTAATAAACTAAAATAAAATTATTTCAAAATTGACTTCGATAAATTTTGATTGTATAAAGAATAAACAAATAAAACACTTGAATTCTTTTTCTTTTTTTGCCTCCTTCTTAAATAATTTTTTATTTCTATGATATACATGGCTAGTCCTTGGCTAGTCCTTGAATAAAGGCTTTATGCGTAGAGCAACCATTTCCTTTTTATTTTTCATATTTGACTTTCAATTATTAATTAACTAATTTGAGTTTTTTTCTAAATAATCGAGAAAAAATAAATTGAAATACACTTTTAATCTAAAAATGTATTTCAGAAAAATTATATATAATAATCATGCAACTATAATTTAAAAATTATATAAATCTATTTTTCAAAAGAAAAAATAATCATGTTCTAAAAATTTATTCCAAAATCCATATATATAGAAAAATAAATTAAAACTATCGGTAAATATAATTTTAAATTAATTGGATGAGAATTTTTTAAAAAATAGATAAATTAAAGTGGTAAATTTCAAATAATAAAAGTAATTAAAACAAAAACTAAAACAAAATAAGATCAAATCATAATACAATTGAAGTTTGAAATCGAAAAAAAATATATAAAAAATTAAGGATTAAAGTATTATAACAATACCATGAATAATGAAAGAAATAGTGATTTGTGAGTATATAAATAGTATTATGAATAGTAAAAATTCATTTTGCTTTAATGTTTTTTTTATAATAGTAATTAATGAGCAGGGCTGACAGATGAAAGAAATAGCAGAGCAAAATGAGAAGAGCTAACCGATGAAGGAAAGAGCAAAGCAAAATAAAAAAGAAGCCAAAAGAAATGCAATTGTACAATAGCATTTAATTTAATGAGGAGGGCCGACCCACCCATGAAAGAAGTAAAAGACCAAAATCACACAAAAAGGAAACTGAAGAGAAATAAAAGATATGCCTTTAAGGGAAAAGAGGTAAATTAATTAAAAAAAAATTATGTTCTAAAAGTTTATTTCAAAATCTATACATATATAAAAAATAAATCAAAATTATCAGTAAATATAATTTTAAATTAATTGGATAAAATTTATTTTTTAAAAAAGATAAATTCAAATAATAAAAATAATTAACAAAAAATATTATAACAAAATGGGATCAAATCTCAATACAGTTGAAGTTTAAAATTGATATATATATATAAATTAAAAACTAAAGTATTACAATAATATCATGAATAATAAAAGAAATAATGATACGTAAGTATATAAGTAATGTTATAAATAGTAAAAAATTATTTTGTTTTAATATTTTTTATAGTAGCATTTAATGAGGAGGACTGACAGATGAAAGAAATGCCAGAGCAAAATGAGGAGGGCTAACCGATGAAGGAAAGAGCAGAGCAAAATAAAAAAGAAGGCAAAAGAAATACAATTATACAATAGCATTTAAAAAAGAAGGCAAAAGACCAAAAAGGAAACTGAAGAGAAACCAAAGATATGCCTTCAACGGCAGAGAGGCACATCAATAAAGAAAAAGAATGGCAAAAGAGAAATTAAGAAGAACTAAGGAGGGTAGAAATCAAGCAGCAAATATGCATGAAACAGGTGAAATGAAAAAAGACTCCAAACTGAATGGGTGAAATGAAAAAGAACTCCAAACGGTAAACATGAGTAAGCATGAACATGGATTTTGTTAATGCATAATTTAATAAGGAGGGCTGACCCACCCATGAAGGAAGTAAATGACCAAAATCACACAAAAAGGAAACTGAAGAGAGACAAAAGATATGCCTTCAAGGGCAAATAGGTAAATCAATAAAGAAAAGGAAGGGCAGAAGAGAAATTAAGGAGAACTAAGGGAGGTAGAAATCAAGCAACAAATATGTATGAACGAGTGAGATAAAAAAGGACTCCAAATAGTAGACATGAGTCAGCATGAACAAGGATTTTGTTTCTAAATGCAAAATAAATGAATAATATTGATCCTAGTTCTTTTAGTTTCTTTATAATAAGACTTGCACTCTTTTATTTATTTATTATTAGTATTATTAAGTTGGATTTAAGTTTTTTTCCCATTAAAGGTAAAAAAAATTCTTATTTAATCTTTTTAGTTATGCATTCTTAAAGAATCAATATGTGTTGATATATCGGAAAGAATTATGTGACGAAACAAAACAGTCTAATGTAAAGTAAAATCCATCTAAAAAACAAGTCACCAAAGGTGAAAGATAAAATCTTTGTACATTTGGAAATATTTTGAATAGCATTTAGAATCGTCTTATGATCTATAACTAAGAGACAAGCAGACACAATCGCTACAAAAACATGAGAAGTCTTCATTAAATTAAAGTACGTTCTAACAATTTTTTTTATCACAACCACTCTTCACATTAATGTCATGACCAAACTTGTAACACTTTCGATTTAGGACCCGAACAAATCGAGGATATTATCAGTGATATTTTACATTCCTATTACAGTGAATGCAAAACATTAAGCCATGTCCCTTTATTCATTCTAATTAATTAATTAATATTCGTAGCGAAGCTTATTAAATATAACTAATTAGGTCCAAACTTTATCTAAATTAGGTATAAATTTTTGTCAAAATAAATTATATAGAAATACTATTAAAAATTTTTGCTTAAAAACTTATAATTATAAAAATTAATTTTAATATTTTAATAAAATACTTTAAACTAAAGTAGGCTAATTTGCACCTTTAATTTTTCTCAATCCTTTAATAAAAATTTAGATCAAATAATAAAATGAATCAATCAATCTAATCTAGTTCAATTATATTTAATTCCCATAAATTTTCTTTAAAATCCGAATTTAATTGCCAAATAACCCAATTAATTAGAAATAGTCAATTTGCCTTTAGTTATTTAGTCATTAATTAAACTAGTTCATATCTTAAAATTACTATTACTTTAATTTGATAAAAATTCTTTAAGTTAGAAAATAAAAAAATTAACTCAATTAAACTTTGATTTAGCCCTTTGAAAGCTAAATTATGGATTAACCATTTGGAAATCATTTTAAACTTAGAAAACACCTATTCCGATTAAATGAATTAAATCGATTAAATTTAATCCATTAAACTCAAATATTTATTACCAATTGAATTCAGTTGCTACCAACTTATTAATTCCAATTAATTCATGTCAATTTAAGCTAAGCCATCAAATAATTTATTCACCTCTCATAATATTTATGCATGCATTAATTTATTCTCTATGCAAGCATTAAATATTAATTTATTTTTAAATAAATATTCATATATTAAATAAGTAAATTATTCATTCAACATATATATACTTAATCCTTCCCCGTAACTTTAATCTTTAGCAACTTAATCATGAAATTGGTATGAATTTAACATAAACAAGCTTAAGCATAATTTTATACAAGTTTAAAACAAATATTTTATTTATGCATGAAACATAATTATTACATGTTTAACAATACATGCACACACACATATAAGATCTAAACATGTACATATGTGTTTACAATAACT